AGTAGGAGAGGAACTGAGATCTGTAGATGTAGGCACTGTGGTGGGACGCTCAGTGGGGGTTAGAGACGAAGTGGCTGCTGTAGAAGAAATCACTGTGGTCGTGCTGTCAGTGGAAGGTGGAGACAAACTGGCCTCTGAAGAAGAAGAAGACGTTGTGGAGGCACCTTCAGTGGGTGTTGAAGTGGAAATGTCGTCTTTAGCAGAAGGTAATTTGCTGGTATTGTTTGTGGTAAGTAGAACCACAGTTTCCTCTTCAGACAACGTGGAGGTGCTTATGGTGGGATTTCTTCCAGATTTTCTACTCCTTTTAAAATTTATCAGCATTTTGTTACTGTCAGTCAGATATGATTCTTCCTTTGCAGTTCCTGTAAACGTTGTCAGATTGTGTCACTTTTGTCAGTGCTTTTGAAAATATTTTAAGCCCTCTAGATTCCACAGAGGTCTGTGTGAGTAATGGGTACTAAGTGGGGTGTTTATTGTAGCTTTTTTAGAAAAAAAAATCTGGTTTCAAAATCCATTGTCTGAATGAACCAGAAATATTTGTTGCAGGTATATCCATGTCTCTCTTTCCCTCCTCTAGGCTCTTTGAGTTGAGCAGAGCCTGAACCCCTTTCCATATATCCTGGCTGGTTCCCATCCACTTTTAATAATCTTAAGGCCCTAAAAACCATGTAGTCATGGACTGTAAAATGTTGGGGGGGATTGGGGTTTATGAGTTTTCCAGTCATTTTGCTCAGAGGTGCCCTTCCCAGCATCTCCAGGGCTGCTGGGCCTCACCTGTATCATGTATCTCTTTCATCTCCTTGCACTGAGGGTCCCGGGGGTTCCCCTGAGACACACACCCTCCTCCATCCCATACAGCCCTGTCCTCTGGGATGTCTGAAAAAGAGAAACGGAGGTTAGTCTCCTGGAGCTATAACATTTCTTCTCATTTGCGAGTCCTTTATTCTCCCCAAGTCTCTGTGATTGCCCAACCTCATCTCCCCACCCCCACCCCTTGCCTCCCCTGGAAAGGGCCACAGTGTTTGTTTCACGGTCTAGAAATCAAGCATCAGGACCTCATTCACACAGAGGTGAAGCGAGAAGACCAGGGTTTGAGGGATAAGGTCTTGAAAATCTTGAGAGATTGGGGCAAACCTCAGGTTTTGCAGCTGTGGGAAAGGGAGCTCTTGCTCAGTTCGGGAGTCAGATTTCAAGGAAGCATTTACATGCGACTAAGTCCTTTCCAATGGAATGTGAGCACAACTGAGCATGCCATTTCCAGGCCAGCCCGGAAACTTCCCCGGTGGTCCTGATTGGTGGTCCTGATCTCTCTGCCAGTTGGAGTCAGATAGCACGGAGGCCCAAGAAGATAGTGAAGCCTAGGTAGAAGGAGGCCAGGTCCCTGGATCACGACATGAAGAAAACCTACCTGCCGACCGGGAACATCTGCTCTCCTATCGTTACATGAGCAGGGAAAAAACCTTCTACCGCGGTTGAGCGATGACACATTTGGGGCATATTTGTTATAGCATATACAAAAATATCCTAATACAGTAAAGAGCTTCATTTAACCCTAGGAACAAATACACTTACTCTAACCATCTTCAAGAAACTCAAACCTTTTGTATCAAATAACCTTTTCCCACTTGAGATTTAATATATTTGTAATATTCAAGAGAATTTGGCTTAATGTGGCAACCTTGTAGTTTTAATTTAAAATACGTAATTGAGGGATGCCTGGGTGTCTCTGTTGGTTAAGTGTCCAACTCTTGGTTTCTGCTTAGGTCATGATCTCACAGTTTGTGAGTTCGAGCCCCGTGTTGGGTTCTGCACTGACAGTGTGGAGCCTGCTTGGGATTCTCTGTCTCCCTCTCTCTCTGCTCCTCCCTTGCTCTCTCCCTCTCTCTCTAAAAATAAATAAATAAACATTAAAAAATAAAGTATATAATTGAGTGATCAATTTAGACTTGTCATTTTACATGAAAATCTTGCCAAGATTATAAACAGTATTAGAACATTTAAGAGTACTTAAGATCCACCATATATATAATGTATTAGGCTTGAAGGTTTGAAGGAAGTTTTAAAAATAAACATTTTAATGTATTAGGTTTATGGAGTTTCTTGAGTACTTGAAAAGATTTTGTTTATGAATCAAACAATTGAAGTCTTTAAATAGGAAATGTATTAATTTTATAAATGTAACTTAAAATGTTTAAAGTAATTTAATTGGCCAAGTATGTAAAATAGATTAAACACTCATCAAAGGCCCTTATAAAAACATTATGCTCTGCTTCTGGCCAAGATGGAGCATCAGAGACTGGATTCGACCTCCTACTGGAAACAACACCCACCCCCAAATAACCTGATAACCATAGCAAAGACAGGAAGCAATGATTTTCAATACACTGGATGTGCCTGTGATCACCCTAGCTGACTGACTTGAGAGGGTTTCCAGCAAGATCTCTTGGGTTGAGGAGATGTAGACCAGTGTCTTGAAAGAACGAGGCAGCTAGAGTTCACAGGACAGAATTACTGGGAGGCAGACTAGCACAGAGGGGTCCCTGATCAGCTCTAGGCTGATCAGAGCTTGCTTCTCAAGAAACTACCCAAGATCCAGGAAATGCCACTGGAAAAGATTAGAAGGAAAGAGACCTGGCTCTCACGTAGGCATGGGAACAATGCTCTTTCCACCAGGCAAACTGGAAAAGCCTATAATTCACAGGGCATTGGGCAGAGAGAGAACTCAGGAAGATCTTGCGTCAGTCCTAGGAAATACAGCCCTACACTGAGATTCTCAGGATTCATGTAAGGAATTATACTTAAAACAAAAAACAAGAGAAGACTCCATCCTGTGGGGGTTAGTGCCACCATGGAGGAGTACACTGCCACTGCCACAAGGCTGGCTTCAATGCTGATGAAGCCAACAATATCCTTAAAGAGCATATGAATAGGACCTTCAGTGGTGAAGATTATAACCAGAAGAACATCAACCAACAGACTGCAAGCATAGTAGAGCAAACCTTAACACATTTGGTTATGTTGGGAAATGCTTATAAATATGTTGTGACCTGTGCAGTGGTCCAGAGGAGCGCATATGGCTTTCACACAGCCAGTTGCTATTTTGGGGGGTTGCCACCTCTGATGGAACCTGTAGTGTAAGATGGGAGGACCGAACCATGAACTGTGTAGTCAATGTTTCTACCATTGCTATTGACCTGTGACAGACTAAAAGTGTTCAGCCAAAGCCGTTAACTTAACAGTTTGCCAGTGTGTCCTTTCTTTTTATTAAAAAAAATTTTTTTTTATCTTTATTTGTTCTTGAGAGAAAGACAGGGTGTGAGCAGGGGAGGAGCATGCAGAGAGGGAGACACAGAATCCTCAGCAGGCTCCAGGCTCTGAGCTGTCGGCATGGAGCTGGACGCGAGGCTCGAACCCACGAACCATGAGATCATGATCTGAGCCGAAGTCGGATGCTCAGCCGACTGAGCCACCCAAGCGCCCTTCCAGTGTGTCCTTCCTTAAAAAAGTAATTGTTACTTATTAATGTGCTGGATGACAAATGTGAAAGACTCTTCAAAGCTATCAACAATCTCATGGTAAATTGGCAGATTATCTCTTATTGTGTGCAGCATCATTTATGTAGGAAAAGATTTTAGGGGCACCTGGTGGCTCAGTCGGTTAAGCGTCCAACTCTTGGTTTCGGCTCAGGTCATGATCTCACAGTTTGTGAGTTAGAGCCCCGCATCAGGCTCTGTGTTGATAGCCTGGAGCCTGCTTGGGATTCTCTATCTCCCTCTCTGTCTGCCCCTTCCCTGCTCTCTTTCTCTCTCTCTCAAAAATAAATAAATAAGCATTTAAAAAATTAAAAAAGGGGTGCCTGGCTGGCTCAGTTGGTTAAGCACTGGACTTTGGCTTAGGTCAGGTCATGATCTCACAGTTTGTGAGTTCGAGCCCCACATCAGGCTCTGCGCTGACAGCTCAGAGTCTGGAGCCTGCTTTGGATTCTGTGTCTCCCTCTCTCTGTCCCTCCCCTACTGGCACTGTCTCTTTCTGTCTCTTAAAAAATGAATAAATGCTTAAAATTTTTTTTTTAGAAAAAGAAGAATATTGAGATAATACAAAGATAGAGTTTCATATAGCGGTCTATATTTTTGGCAAGTCAAAAATTCTCACAGCCATGACCTTTATTTTACTTCATGTTGCTGGCTTTTGTGTCCTGGATGATTATAATGACCAAAATATCTGTGCAGTTAAGTCTTGCTCCTGATTATTGTTACTGAAACCTTATTTTATTTTATTTTTTTTTTAAATTTTTTTTTCAACGTTTATTTATTTTTGGGACAGAGAGAGACAGAGCATGAACGGGGAAGGGGCAGAGAGAGAGGGAGACACAGAATCGGAAACAGGCTCCAGGCTCTGAGCCATCAGCCCAGAGCCTGACGTGGGGCTCGAACTCACGGACCGCGAGATCGTGACCTGGCTGAAGTCGGACGCTTAACCGACTGTGCCACCCAGGCGCCCCTGTTACTGAAACCTTATTTTAAAAGAATAATAATCAAAATACCTAGGGACTTGATATCTGCTCTGTTTTTATTTAAAATATAGTAAAGATTATCTTCCTGTGCTGTAAAAGAAAAAAAAAAAAAGCAAGAGGAGGCGGAAGAAGAAAAGGAGGAAGAAAAAGGAAACAGGGTTTGATTTTGGAATAATTAATGTATACATATGATACAAAACTTACAAAATAAGCCTTTCTCCCACCTTATATCCAAATTGTCCTTTTCAGACTCAACTATTACTGGTTTCTTGTGAGACCTTTCAGATATTATATACATCAACAAGTGCTTAAAAGAGGTATGGTTGCATACTGTATACATGGTTCTGTGTCTCGCTTTTTTTCATTGTCTCAAGCATATTAAGCTACCTCCTTCTTTGTAATGACTACATAGTGCTCCATGATATAGATGTATAGATTTATTTAATTTACCTCTTAGAGATGGGTGTTTGGGCTGTGTGGTAGGCAGAATTTTGGTCCTCATGGTCTCTGCCCCCTGGTGTTAATTCCAAGAGTATGTTATGTTACGTGGCAGAAGGAACTTGGCAAGTATGACATTGCTAATCAATTGACTGATCAGGTCAAATAGGTAGACTATCCTGGATTTTCAAGGCAGGACCGATGTTATCACATGAGCCCTTAAAAGCAGGGAAAAGAACAGAAGAGAACTCAGAGAAGAGCAACAGAGAGACGCCACGTCATTTGCTAAGGTGAATATGGATATCCCTGTATTTGCGACTTTGCATTGGTATATGAGTGTATCCATTGGGCAAATTCCTACACATGGAAATTGCCAGGCAAAAGAGCATGTGCCCTGGATATTGTGTTCCTTTTTTCTCAAAGACCTTCTAAAAAAAAAAAAAACAAAAAACAAAACAAAAAAAAAAACACCTTCTATAGAACTGTACCAATCACACTCCCTTTCTGTGGCTGGCAGTGTCTCTTTCCCACATTCTCAACAACCAGTATGCTATCTAGCTTTTTTTGGTTCTTGGCAATTTTCATGGGTTGAATTTATCCATCCCTCAAAAAATTATACTGAATTCCTAACCCTCAGGACCTCAGAACATGTCTTTATTGGGATATAGGTCTTTACAGAGGAAATCAAGTGAAAATGAGGCCATTAGGGTGGGCTTATGACCATTATGACTGGTGTCCTTATAAAAAGGGGAAATTCTGACATGAATTTAAATACATTTTTTTAAAAGAAGGGAAATTCAGAGAGTATATCAAAATAAAAAGCTTCTGCACAGCAAAGGAAAAAAATCAACAAAGCTAAAAGACAACCTGCTAAATGGGAGAAGATATTTGCAACAACATATCCTATAAGGGGTTAGTATCTTAAATATATAAAGAACTTATACAGGGGCACCTGGGTGTCTAGGTGGATTAAACGTCTTGATTTTGGCTCAGGTCATGATCTCATGGTTCATGAAATCAAGCCCTGTGTTGGGCTCTGCACTGTCAGACTAGGATTGGGATTCTCTTTCTCCCTCTCTCTCTCTGCCCCTCCCCTGCGAGCTCTATCTCTCCAAATAAATAAACATTAAAAAAAAAGAACTTATACAACTCAACACTCAAAAATCAAATAATCCAATTTAAAAATGGACAGATGTGAACAGACATTGCTCCAAAGAATACATCCAGATAGTCAACAGACATATGAAAAGATGCTCAACATCACTCATCAAAAGGGAAATGCAAATCAAAACTACAATGAGGTATCACCTCACACTGTCAGAATAGCCAAAATAAAAAACACAAGAAGGGAAGTTTGGGGGCCCCTGGGTGGCTCAGTCGGTTAAATGCCACACTTTTGGTTTCAGGTCATGATCTCACAGTTCATAGGTTCGAGTCCCACATCAGGCTCTACACTGACCGCGCAGAGCCTGTTTAGGAATCTCTCTCTCCCTCTCTTTCTACCTGTCCCCTGCTCTCTCTCTCTTTCTCAAAATAAAAAAATAAACTTAACTAAAAAAAAAAGAAGAGAAGTTTGGACACAGAGACGTGCACACAGGGAGAACCCCTCAGGGAAAGATGAAGGCAGAGATCTGCGTGACGTGCCTGCAAGCCAAGGAATGTCTATTGCCAGCATCTACCAGATGCCAGGGGAGAGGCCTGGCATAGATCTTTCCTTCCCTACTGCCTTCAGAGGGAGCATGGCCTGCTGACACTTTAGTCTTGGACTTCTGACCTCCAGAATTGTGAGACAAGAAATTCCATTGTTCTAAGCCACTCAGGTTGTGCTAATTTGTTATGGTGGCCCTGGAAGGGAAATTATTTCTGGTCACCTGTGGTTGCAGCAGTGGATTCAAGGAGAGAGAGGTCAGTGGTGACCCCTAGGAAGGCTCCTCAGAGGAGAAGGACCTTGTTGATGGAGGTGAGGTTGGGGGGATAGCCACTGGAGTGACTCCCTGAAGAGGAGGATGACAGTAGGAGGGTGGTGAGGACATGGGTGGGCAAAAGCACTCAGGTTGGGGAAGGGAAGGGGGGGAAGCGAGCAGAAGGAGATGACTGAGCACCCAGGCCTTGGACACATCTGTGCTGGATATGGGAGGTAAGAGGCACTTGCCAGGGCTGGACAGGGCTCGACTGGGCCCACAATGTTGTGTTTCGTTGACAAGCAATATAACCAGGGTGTGCTGGAAGGAGGGGCCAGACGGCCAGAAGAGGGTGTGCCTGCCGGGAAGAGCCAGGTAAAGGCCGCCAGATTCTTCCTCAAGGCCCATGCCCCACTCAGGCATCCCCAGCCCAGTAGCCTGAGAAGGGATGTGGCTCTGGGTCCCCAAAAGGACACATGGGAGAGTCAGGTGCCCTTCAAGGCTGGCCAGGGCTCTACAGACCAGCTGATGCCAGGCCCAGAGAGGGGACCACAGAATCCCAGAGAGTCTTCAAGGCTCCATTTCACTGAGGGGGGGAGACTGGGAGTGGAGATGCGATGAGCCACAGGGTGCAGAATGTGGGAGAGACCAAGGGGTGGGAGGAGGAGAAAAAGAAGAAGGGGGAGAGAGGGAGAGGGAGTGGAGGGAGGGGCCAGAAAGAAGGAACAGAGAGCAGAAAGGGGAGAGCAGGGGAGTGGAGGAATGAGAAGGAGCGGGAACCATCTTCCCCAACTAAGGCCCATTTTAGTGCCTAAAATGCCACTATTAGAGATAAGTCACGAAGAATCTGAACAGCACACACAGTGCCTGGGAAGAGGGTGTCATTCTCAGTACTAATAAGGTGGCAGCTCTGGGTGTCATCACATTGGGAGTCCATGCCAAGTGATGGCAGGGTTCAGGTCAGTGAACCAGCCCTTTATTTATTTATTTATTTATTTATTTATTTATTTTTATTTTTGGGACAGAGAGAGACAGAGCATGAACAGGGGAGGGGCAGAGAGAGAGGGAGACACAGAATCGGAAACAGGCTCCAGGCTCCGAGCTATCAGCCCAGAGCCTGACGCAGGGCTCGAACTCACGGACCGCGAGATCGTGACCTGGCTGAAGTTGGACGCTTAACCGACTGCGCCACCCAGGCGCCCCGAACCAGCCCTTTAGACCATGCCAAGCCACTGCCCCACCCTGTCCCAGACTTCGGCCCCCCTGCCTCCCTCCATTCTCTTCATTTGCCAGTCAGCCCTCAGGTAGGCCTCCAGAGAAGACCCTGTCTCCTTTGGGTGGGTTTGGGCCAAGGAGGCCCCAGCCCCAGGATTACATTTACAGGTACTTTCTTCCCAGCCCCCACTCCATTTCCTCTTTGGAGAAGAGTTGCCCAAGGTCTGGGTCCAGGGAACCAGGAGCCCCCGCTCCTCCTGGTGTTTTGAGCTCAGGGCAAAACACAGTCCAGGACATGGCAGTCTGAATGACATCCACAGGGCCCAGCATGAGCCCCCACTTTTGCGTCTAAGACCCCTTCCCACCCCACCCAGGCCATTCCTGATTTGCACGTCTCAAGGGAGTGCAAATCTGAGGCCTGCAGTTTCGTTTCTGCCTTTTCCCCTCCCTCTTTCTCTGGGGACAGGCGAGTGGCAGAGGGAACCCCTGAAAGGTGTGACCAGGAACCCCTGTCATTCTCTGCCAACCTGAGCCCAGTCCCCATGGCCATGGAATCCTTAGTGGGCCCAACCCTTGTCCTTTAGGGGAAGACACTGAAGCCAGAGATGAACTGAGCTGCCCCACAGCACACAGCTGTTTCACTGCATTTTTAGAATCTGGGGCTCCCAAAACCCCAGCTTGTGCCCATTTGGCTAGAGCAGTGGCCCCTTTCCTGGTTCTGGGATGCCCGACAGCCCTGGGACATGCTCGGGGCACAAGGCAGGGGTGGGGTGATACAGAAATGGCCAGAACAAGAGTCAGAGCAGAGACTTCAGGCTTTTGTCTCTTATGAAAAGAAGGCCTGGATGTTTGGGGGGAGGTGGCCAGGGGGGTGGAGGGGCACATCCACAGGGTAAGGACAGACCCTAATATCGGTTGAGCATCTGCTATGTGTCAGGGACTGCGGCGGGGGGGGGGGAGGGGGTGTTGAGCATCTGCTATATGCCAGGGACCGCAGGGCAGGGGGGCGGTTTCAGTCTAACCCTCCAGCCCTGACAAGTCCGAGTTCTTACTCTCTTTCTGGAAAGGAAGCAAGCTGAGAAAGGCTAACTTGGACGCACCCCAAAGCCCTGGCTCTTCTCCCGAATGTAGCTGGGGAGAAGAGAGGGTGAGGGACATGAGCTGAGCTCCAGGCAGAGGATACCCCAACCTGTGCCCGCCCCCGGAAGCAGCCCTCCCTCGAGCCTGGGCAAACCGGGGAGAAGAGGCGAGGTGGGGGTTCACTCACCCTGCCCAGCAGCAGCATGGCAAGACAGGAGCTGAAGGACAAGGGGCAGCAGGCAGAGCATCATGGTCACCAGTCTTGACATTGGAACTCGGAGGGCAGTGCACCTGCCATTCACCCTCTCAGGAATGCGCAAAATGAGTGTCAGCCAAAGAACCCCAGTAATAAATGGGCCCCAGAGCCCTTTGATCCCTGAGACACTGGAAAGCTGAGGCCAGCCCACCTGAGTCAGTGTGTGAGCTTCTATCCTGACTGGGGGTGCGGATTTTATTTCAGGCCAAAGGGCAGAGGGAGGGGAGCCCCTCCCTTGCCAGGCAGCACGCAGGTACACAGGCCACCAGGTAGAGGGGCAGGCACAGGGCCCTGAAGCAGCCTGGGAGAACTGAGAAGACCCTTGGAGGGAGGTTCCCACCCTTGGAGAAGAGACTGGGCCTGAACCTGAAAGGAGAAGGGTGCCCGTCATTCCCCTCCAGCCCCCTGGTAGGGTGACGCCCCCTCTCTTCTTCTCGAGCTCTCATTACTGACCCTGATGGGGTGCAAGTCATGGCCACACCTAGGCCAGTGCCCAGCTCCAGGATGGCTGCATTCTTGGATCTGTGGGCCCTGAGATCTATCTGTGAGCTCCCAGGTGAGCACAAGTTTCCACGGCCGTGCAGAGTGACCTTGCCCTACCCCAAGGTTAACAGAGCCAAGTCCTCACTCCTTTCCTTGCCTTTTGTGGGCTCCCACCCATCACTCCCTGGGCCTGAGGCCCCCAAGGTCTGACCCCAGGCTCGTCTGCCACAGTGACCTCAGGCAGAGGTGGGCCCGATTCTGCCCTGGCCTAGGCAGGCGAGGAGCTCTGTGCTCCATGTTCTACATGTGGTCACAAGAAGGGGCTGAGAGTGCTGGGTGTCCCATGTCCAGATTTGGCATCTAATCTTGGGAGGAGTGCTGTCCCCAAGAAGGGCTTCCTGAGCTCCAGGCCCCTGCAGGGGAGGGAAAGAAACCACTCACAGCTCTCTACTTTAAGCCTAGCTCTTTTATTGGGGGGAGGGGGAATTCCAGAGTGGGGCGTCTCTGGAGCAAACAATGATGTCAGGGTGTCTGGGCAGCCCTTGGGCTCCTGGACAGAGTGTGAGAAAGCAGAGGGGGGCTCACAGCAGGGCCCAGACCAAGCCCACCAGCTCTGAGTAGGGCCACCTCAGGCCCCGATGTCAGTTTCCTTTGGACCAACAGGGGAGGTGGGGAGTAGCGCCGTCGTGGGCTCTATCTGCTGTCTTGTCCAAATCTGGATGAGCGGTGGGAGCCTCTTGTCTCACTCACTGAGCAGTTGTCAGGACCCTGGGCCTCTGGATGTGGAGCTGGGGGCGGGAGAGAGGAGGTGAGGCCCAGGAGGCTCCAATGGAAGTTACCTGCCTCTAGACCAAGGGTGCCCACCACCCCCCAGGCAGCCCAGGGTGGTGGATGGCAGGGCTGGGGGGAATGGAACAGCTACTAGCTGGGGACAGACCCCTGAGTCACCTCTGTAGTAGGGTCAACGTTCTCCAGAGAGGGCTGGAAATGGCTGTAGATGTTTTCAAGGGCGAATCTGTCTTCCTTCAGATTCTCATCTGCAGAAAAAGGGGCCGGGCTGAGAGTGAGCCTGGGGGGCTGGCCCCATGTGACAGGAAGACAAGAGAGAAACACAGCCCCCTGACACGCCTAGGGTCAAAAGTCATGGCCACGGGCAGGCTCAGGGGTGACCTGGGCGAGGGTGGAACAGGAGGAAGGCCCTGCTCGAGGGTCACCGGCACACACTGCCTCACGGCCACGGGAACCACAGCAAGCAGAAACCAGCAGTGCCCAGAATCTTCTCTTGGAGTGGGCTTTCAGCCGCCATTTTCCCAGTCCTGCACATCCCCCACTCCTCGGCCTCCAAGCCGCAGGCTCCAGGCTCTCCACGACCATTTCTTCTTTCTGCCTCCTTCAGGGTCATCCCAGGGACCCTGCCCTTCACTCTGCTCTTTTCCGCACCTGTATTCTTCCTGCCGCCTCCCAGCCGCCCACTGGCCAAGACTTCTCCCCAGGGTTCAGATAGGCCAGAGCTGGTGATGCCTCTGTACCCCTATTCATCACCAGCCCCTGTACTCAGTGTGCCCCCACCTGCTGCCTCTGCCCCGACCAGGCAGTGTCCCTCCCCCCATCCAGGCCTTCTCCCTTCCCCAGCCTGTGAGCAACAAGCCTGGCCCAGCTCACTGGCATCTAAATTACTTCTGCTGTCCACTCCTCCCATCCCCCTGTCCCCACCCAGCCTCATCATCCTTCACCTACATTACAGCAGAGCCATCCCCTTGGTCTCCCCACTTTAGGGCTGCCCCCCTCAATTCACCCTGAGTGAGCTGCTCGAAATGCATGTCTGGCTCCCTGCCCTTAAAGCCCCTCCAGTGGGTCCCTCCATCACGGCCCACAGAGATCTCCATGACCTCACTGGTATCTGTGTTCCTGGAAGCAGGAAGCACACGGCTTATGCACCAGCCCACAGCACTGCCTGGCCTGCAGACTGGCTCAGGTGAGGGTGCTTCTGCAGTCTTCTGATCCCGCCCTGCCCTGGCCGGACCGGGCAGATTTCTGTGCCCATGGAGCCCTCGGCATGGCCCTGTCCTCCCACCAACTGTGAGTACATCTGAGACTCTCACAGGGGGTGGTCTCTGGGGGCAGGATCCGGCTGCTCTCCGCCACCTGTAGCCCCTCCCCATTGTTTGTCTGGAGGAACTGGGAGGGCAGGACTTGCCCAGGGGCAGGGATGGTGGTGGCTAGAGATTCTTCATCTCCCTGCACCACGGGACATGGTGCCTTGTGGGACATGGTGGCTTTCCACGGCAACTGGGAATCAGAAGAGCCCGAATACACGGGATGCTCCATGGAGAGGCAGTGTTTGAACCAGAGTGGGAGACAGAGTGGGATTGGGACTTGCAGAGCCCCCAGCAAGGGGAACCTTCCAGACAGAGGTGCAGTACTTGCAAAGGCATGGGGGAGGGAAAGGGTGGGCATGGGGAGGAGCAGAGAAAAGACGAGGGTCAGCAAGGACCACGTGGGGGCTCAGGGGTCAGGAGGCTGCAGAGAAACTGGCCTAGCCCAGGGGCGCAGGACCTGTAAAACCAGCTGGCAAGACCCATGCAGCCCCCACAGCCACATCGTGTCTGGCTGTGATGCCTTCTCAGCCTATCTCCACCCACCAGCTTTGCCCCCACCCTTGCCTCTGGTGAGAAGTACCTTCCCAGATGCCTGTGTTCTGGAAGCCGCCAGGAAGATCTTCTCCTTGCCACAAATTGTATTCTTGCCTGCCAACAGAAACACCCTGAGCAGCTGGCAGCAGGGAGGTGGAGGGAGCTTAGAGGGCCCTGACCTTTGGCTTCTGGAAAGGGCTGTCACTGCCAAGCCCTGGGTCAGGGAGGGGCCTGCCCCCAGGGTGGTGGCAGAAAACAAAACATCTCCAAGGCCTGCCCTTCCCCCTCCTCCCTTCCACAGGAGTTCCATTATCGGTGAGATGGGAGCAATGGACCAGAATCAGAGGAACCCCCTTCTGGCTGCTGGAGCTGCTCTGCCCTGTGCTTCTCAACCATCTCAGGGTTGATTCTCCACCCCCCCCTCAATTTTACTGCTGGGAAAGCAATGCTGGAGAGCTCATCCCCAGGGGTGCCCTGTGGCAGCCAAAGTGATAACACCAGGTAATGTCATCACATAATCCAATTTCAGGACACAAGTGTTTGGTCGCATCTCTCTGCCAAACAGATCAGATCAGCGGGCTGCCCTGTGCTGTTAACCAGAACTGAGTTGGGCTGGGTCCCCAGCAGACTTCCAAACGCTGAAGGGAAGGAGGAGAGCCTTGGGGTCTTGTGGCCCCCTTTCCCTGGGCCTGAATCCATAAGCTCACCTGTGCAGTTTTCTCTGGGATCGGCCAAGGAAGACAGTCAGGATCACCACCATGACCACCAGCAGTGCTCCCACGGCCCCCACACTCCCGTACACCAGGCTCTTGCTGGTGCTCAATGCACACGTCTCTCCCCAGTACCAGTGTGTGTCCGAGGTTGGGCATCTGGAGACACACACAAGCTCAGGCCAGTCCACCAACATCCCTCACACCCAATCTTGCAAAAGAAAAAAAATCAATGCCAAAGCACAGGAAGCCGGCTCTCCCTCCAAGGAAGGGTAGGCACTGGTTAGGAGGGACCCAGGTTAGGAGGCTCCCCAAGACTAAGGGGCAGAGAGGAGGTGGGGATTCAGTATTGCAGAACAGGATTCAGAATCTGAGTGTCAGATGCCTTGTCCCAGACACATCGTGCCCACTCATCTAATCTCTAGCTGGCACCTTGACTGACCTGTTACCATTTTTATATTTTATGCTTTAATGTATGCTCTCCTGAGCTTAATGCCCCAGCTATATATAGCTAGGAGTGATATAATGGCACTGTAGCTGGGATATTGAAAGGAAAGTGAAAGATAGAGATCTATGGATATAGATTTGGGAATTGGTGACTAGAACTTTCTCAGGAGGGGGCTTGCTCACTCCTAGAATGCCCACATCTATAACCTGCACCTCCCCCACCTCTGGTGGGGGTGGGGGGGGTGAAGGGACACCTGGGTAGAAGAAAGAGGGATGGGTGGGGAAGGACGTGTCTTGTCAGCTGTGCCCAACTCCTTCTGCGTCCCCCCTACCCTGACCCCTGCCCCATAACTATGGTGGAGGGTGTGGTCCTACCACTAGAGAGAGTGGGCACTGGCCTTAGAGGGGCTGGACACTCACAGGCAGCGGGGGCCACTGCGTTGCAGCTGGCATTCTCCCTCATTACAGTTCAGTTGCAACTTCGTCCCCGAGGTGCATTTGGTCACACAGGCCAGCTTCCCATCCAGCTCATCCACAAAGTAGAACTGGGCATAGTCCTTCGCAGCCTTCTGAGTGCATTGCTCTGGGGGGTGGGGGGTGGGGAAGGGTAGACAGCCTGGTTAAAGCGCCACCAGCCCTCATGTTTACTGCCCACACCCTGTCCCCCCAACACCTACCACTCTGCAGAGATGCTTACCCTTCAAGTCAAACCCCAGCATCACGTTCTCGCTCACGATGGTGGCTTCCTCACTGAAGCACAGATGTGAGGAGGCTGCCAAGCATGGTGGGAAAGAACAAAACAAAAACACTTCCCTCTGCCCTACTAGGGTCATGGCCCATCCCTAGATGCAGCTGGGCCTGTAAGCAGGCTCAGATGGGAACATTAGGGCTGATGACAATCTGAGCCCGCGACAGGGAGATGTTGGGGGCACTTTGGAGTCTGGGGAAATGGGGCCTGGCTTCTGGATCCCTATAGGGAGGTCTCTGGAGTTCCAGAAAGGAGGAGAGATATGGGGTGAGGGGAGGCTGAGGCATTCCTACCCTTTCCCCACCAACGTCAAGGGGTTTTAGGAGAGCCTACCTCTGCACTCTTCAGAATCACCAGATAGCCTTTTGGTCTCATTCATAATCTTGACCTTTATGAGTTTAGAGAGGTTTGCAAATAGTTCATCAAACTCTGAAGTGTAGTTTGCCTCCATGATGACGTCATGTTCCACCACAACACTGCCATTGCTAAAACCAGGAATTGGTGATTCATCAGTCACCCTATGTCGCCCACCCTCCCAGAAAGTGGTGATGAAACCACCACCCACAAAGCCAGAAGGGTGATGAAACACATTTAACTATGTGACCCAGAGGCAGGACAGACTAGAGACTGTTCCCTCCAACAGTTAGCATTCCAGAGGGAAGCTGCAGAGTAAAATGACCTAAGATTCCAAAATATCAGTGATCACAATAAATGCCATTGGGTGAAATCCATTCTTAAAACTGGAAGCTCTTGGGTGAAGACATGGTGGAATTGAACCATTGTGACTGTTGGAGGGAGGATCAAATGGTGCAGCCATTGTGGAAAATAGTATGGCAGCTCCTCAAAAAATTAAAAATGGAATTACCATATGACCCAGCAATTCCACTTCTGGGTATTTATCCCGAAAAATTGAAAGCAGGGATTTGAAGATATATTCATACACCTGTGTTTGTAGCAGCATTATTCACAATAGCTAAAAAGAAGCAAACTAAGAAGTGTCCATTGATGGGTGAATGGATAAACAAGATGTGGCACACAGTACTATGAAATGTTTTTCAATCTTACAAAAGAAGAAATTTTTGACACCTGCTGCAACATGGATGAACCTTGAGTACATTGTGCTAAGTGAAATAGCCAGTCACAAAAGGACAAATAGTGTATGAGTATTTACATGAGTACTAATATGAAGTCCCTAGAGTAATCCAATTCATAGAGACAGAAAGTAGAATGGGGGTTGCCCGAGGTGGGATGAGGGAGAATTGAGAGTTATTGTTTAAAAGGTACAGAGCTGGGTGTCTGTGTGGCTCAGTCAGTTGGACATCTGGCTCTTGATTTTGGCTCAGGTCATGATCTCATGGTTTGGTTTTGGGATGCAGCCCCAAGTCAGGCTCTGCGCTGATAGCATAGAGCCAGCTTGGGATTCTCTCTCTTTCTCTCTCTCTCTCTCTCTCTCTCTACCCCCCTTCAAAACAAACAAACTTAAGAAAAATAAAATAAAGGGTACAGAGTTTCAGTTTGGAAAGACGGAAAAGTTCTGGAGATGGACCATGATGCTGGTTGCACAACAATGTGAATGTACTTAATGACACTAAACCATACACTTAAAATGATTAATTTAATGATTAATGGCCACTTTTTGTTATGCGCATTTCACCACAGTAAAAAATACTTAAAATTAAAAAATTTTTAAATGGAGGCTGTTGGATTTTATTTTGAAAACCAAACAAGCATGCTTTTAAAATGAAGAAACATGAGGTCACTTTAGAAATATAAGATTCCAACCCAGAAGCTCCTTGTTAGAAGGCCAACGGGGCACTGAGAGATCTTGAGACAAGGTCTGTCACCAGTCAGACATTGTGACAGAGAAGTCAGGAGCAGGAGCCAGGAGTACTTAAAACAACAAAAACTTGTGCCAAAATGGAGACTGAAACAAACACTGGTACTGGGCAGGAGGTCAAGATGGAGTAGAGGATGCTGAGGCATGGAACCCCATGGGCATTTGACAGTATAGATCTCCCTCTTTCCTTGCTGGGAGAAGACACCTTCCAGGCTCCCTTCCCACCTTCCCTTCTGTCTCCTTTCCACTTTCCTTTGGGGGCTCTGCTTCTCCTGTCTATCCCTTAGATGCTGGTGCTTCTCAAGATTCTTTCCTGGGAAATGTTCACTCCTATGCTATAATGATTCCCAGACCATCTGGTCTACTCCCAGGGCTTCCAGCAACTTCTATCCAGGAAAACCAACACCAGTGTCTCCGCTGCAGACACTTTCTATCCACCACACACTGTTCCATTACTCAACCACTCAATGTGGCTGGGTCCCAGGCACTTGAGACTCCACATAGCCCACTCTTCATCTTCTTCCCCATCCTCCTCCTCCTGACCTTCCTCATCTCATCAAAGGGCACTCTACATTGCCAGCAGCCAAGAAATCTGGTGTCATTCCTCCTCTCCAAACACCCATCAAATCCTCATGATCTGCTGGTCCTGCTTCTTAAAGATCTTTCACACTAGACAATTTTTCTTCTGCACTGTCACCTCTCTGATCCAGGCCACTCTAATCTCCATCCCCTGTCCACCCATTCTCAGTCCTGCAATCAAACTGAGCTGTCTGCAGTGCCGATCAGATATTTTCCCACGTGGGCCCAAACTGCTGATACTTAAAGTAACTTGGTATGAGTCATCTTTCCACCTCCTCTCCCACCATGACCCTTTTGCCCTCAAGCAGTAACTATTCTTTATGTTCCCGGAATCTGCCCTCCTCTTTCTCACTTCTGGGTGAGACTGAGCCATCCTTCATCAATTGCCTTTCCCTGGCTCATTCCTCTTCATGCTTTAAGCCTCAGCTTAAAGCTGTCACTTCTTCCAGAAAGATTTCCCTCCACCTCACCCAGCTTGCATTTGAGACCTCTCCCATTGTACCCTGTGTGTCTCTTACCATTAACTCTAACCAGATCGCACAGCCATTTTGCTGTGTTCTGCCACTCTTTACTCCATGAAGACCAGGACCACTGTATTCCCTGCACCTAACACAGCGTAGGCTTTCAATACAAGTTTGCAGAATTGATGAAGGCTGAATGAATGTATAAATGAATGGCTCAGAGCCTTCTGGTGTTGCCCGTGGGCTGGGGGCCCTTCTGGTCCAGCCAGGTACTCATACTCATTCAAGACAGGAGAAGACAAGAGAGCAGAGAGAAGGGGTTTCCTGCACCCCTCACATACTCACAACAGTCTCCTAATGATCACGCCTCTGTACTGGGGAAAGTCTTTGCCCATGTAAGCTTTATCCATCTGAAAGAAATGAGGCAGCCAAGTTCATACACGAATGGGGGATGCAGCAGCCCCTGTTCCCTGTCTCAGAGGCAGCTCCAGGGCCCCCTTCCCACAGGGAACCCATGGATTAACCCATAGGAAAGAAGGAAAGGAAGGCATAAGGATGCTACCTCCTCCAGGATGTGCGTGAGGTGGTGTTCAAGGAAGGGGCTCTCAGAGGCCCCCCTCTCAGGACTTGGGAAGACTGAAGGGATCTATGAGCTGAGAAACTCCAAAGTCAGTCAGAATGAGCCCCTGTATCCCCAATAACATTGGACATCCACTTTAGGGGATCTGAGATTTCCCTACTCTTACCTGACTCTTGAATAGTTGAGTGAAATTCCAGTATTCTGGGGAGGATATGTTATTCAGATATTTTGTGAAATTCTTGTTAGTCACTTTCACTGTCACACCTAAAGTGGCATTGATAATTTCTGGGATTTCTGTGGGAACAGATCAGATTATACATGAGACAGCAACCTCTCAGTAATGTCTTCTGGGATTAATCTCCTCCTGCTGGTCTCATGGAGGCAAAGAAAGTGGGTAGGCAGGTGGATGGAAATTCAAGAGACAAGTAGGAGTCACTGAAACTTTTGCCCCTTATCTCTGAACACTACAAGGAACTAGTGGCCAGGATCATGACCCAGAGAGAGAGAGCTAAGTGGAAGTCTCCAGAAAGGGTTGGAATAGAAACATCCCGATGAGAGGGGCAGATGGGCCAGTGAAAAGAGCCCGGGAGGAGGAGTCAGAAGGCCCATGCTCTACCTGCATTTAGACCCAGGCAAAGGTTAATTTTTCTCCTCTATCTGCACAATGAGGCAGTGGTAGCAGATAGTCCTTTCAATGTTACCCTCCTATTTAAGTGGTTAAGGAATATGGGGACAAACTGAAGGTCTCAGAAAAGTTTATTACCTAGGAAGAAGGAGTCCACAAGGGACTTGCATTGGTAACCGAAGAAGCCTTGGGCACAGACACACTCTTTTCCATTCCAGATGGTCCCATTCTGGCACTGGCCTGTGAAGGGGTAGAATTCACAGCGGTCACCATGGAAGCCCAAGGGACAAAAAATACTATCTCCCATTCCAGGTCCCATCATTTAGGCATTGTACTGAAAGAGGAGGATGAGAACCACTGCCACCATCTTAAGCTCCGGGGGAGGTGGGGGGGGGGAGGGAAATGAGGAGGGACAATGGGGAAGATGGAAACAAGAAATGAAAGAAGATGAGCAAAGAAAGCAAGAGCCCTACAAGGAAAAGAAAAGAAAAGAAAAAAGAAAAGAAAAGAAAAGAAAAGAAAAGAAAAGAAAAAGGAAAGGAAAGGAAAGGAAAGAAAAGAAAAGAAAAGAAAAAAGAAAAGACAACATCCACCCATGTGGATGACATGCTTTGACAACAAGAAGGCCCAGATAAGATGAAACAAGACCACAACGAGGTCAAAACTGATTAGTTGATGAGAGAAGATGGACAGGAGAGGTTCACAGAGTGACGTACAAAAAGACTTACTTGGTGTCATAGCTGAAGACTGGGTCGTCATCACAGTTGTATGGGTGCTAGTGAACAGAGGATGGAGAGTTGAAGACGTACTGAACCCAAGGACTGGAGCATGGGTAGAGCCATGTGAAGTGGAGGACAGAGGAGGAGAAAACCCAGAGGAATCTGTAACGGCTGAGGAAGAGTCAGAGACTGGCCTTGAGGACAAGCTAGGAAGAGCTGAGGCTAAAGAAGAAGTATGAGAGGTAGTGGTTTGGGAGCTGTCAGATGATATTGTTGTGTTTGGTGACCCTGTGCTGCTTTGGAAAATAGTAGATCCTCCTCTGAGGGTGGTGGCTGTTGGTCTGGAGATGTCTCTCGTTGTAGAAGAGAAAGTGAGAGCTGATGGGGATGCAGGACTAGAGCTGTCTGTGGAAGAGGGGATTGAAGTAGAAATCGTTGGTTTGGCAGAATCACTGCTGGTGATGAAAAGAGTGAAATTCTCACCCAAGGTGGTGGGCATTTGTCCAGAGACTGGGGGTGAAAAGGAATGGATGGGCCTTGATGAAGATAATGCACCAAGATCTTCAGTGGTATTGGGGGCATCAGATGAATCCATTGTATTAGAGGAATAAGTGGTAGTGGTGAAGACACTCGATTCCTCAGTGATGGTT